TTTTTCATGCTGGCTCATAGGCATACACATGTTTTTATGTAGAATACAAGTACATTAGCATACATACTATGCACATCTGTAAAGTTAAACTACATAAATAATGCACTTTGCGTTAGTCACTATTGGATTATCTTGTAGACGGATTGTATGAGGCCAAAATGGTTGAATTCTTATAGTTCTAAAATTGTTTTTTTTTTTATAAAAATTTATTTGATGAACACTTTGAAGCCTTACAATACAAATTTATGCATCAAATAGCGCATATTTTTACTCATCAGCTTAGACCTGGCAGTCACTTCAGGAAAATTGCCTCCATGATACAATAATTTTTAGAAGGTAGTTTCACTTCTTCTTCTTATCCGCCATGTTAGCTATCTGACAGAAAACGTGTTTCGTATTTTTTGTTGTACCAAATTTTTCAAAAAAAAAATCCACCTTTCGACGTTGGAAAAATAAATAATAATTTTCGAATATTTTTAAATATTTTTCTTCATAAAAAGTTAACTGCTGCTTTCGAGGATATTGCAACACATGGAATAGGTGTAAGGATGCAGCTATAAGAGCACCGCATACCACAGAGTTTATCGGCCGCCTATTTAAATAATAGGGCTCGCTTGAAATATGTACATGAAGATGTATGGAGGTGCGCACACTACACCAGCTTAATCGCTCCGACTAATAAGTTGTGGTGCAATGGAAAGACTAGCGAGCACATCTAAATCGGCGGCCGATAAAGTCCGTGGTGTGCGATAGATCTAATCCATTATAAACAAGAAATATTGCCGTTATATTTTCATTTTTATGGGGGAAACTTTCCATTATGGCCGTTCGTTAAAGGTGCGGTGGGCGAAGGGGGAGTGGGCGTGGCACCTCCAACCGACCTTTTTGGAGAGGGCATGAACCGCCATTGACAAAAAGGCAACCCCCGACCACCTAGGCCCCCTATGGTTCCCTACGGACCCTTTAGAAAAATGGCCAAAAACCGCAATTTTTACGTACGTATATTTATATTTAAAATTAAGTGATCAGTTATGAAACGTATAAATCTTTACATGTTCTGTTAAAAAATATCTAAAATAACGAGCGAAAATCCCCAAGTTCTATATCGTAGCAGTGGCCGCATTGCGTTTTTGGTCACAGACACGGTTTATGTCAAAAATTTTGAAGTGAAACTACCTTCTAAAAATTATTGTATCATGATTGCCTCTATAGACTCGCTGACTTAACTGAATTTAGATTTTTTCCTGTGCATAGCTGGCTTCATCAAAGTAAGGCAGACAAATGACTGAATTTTATATAAATATGTGGTCCATTTTTAGAATACTTGTATCGATGCATTTATATATGCATATGTATGTATGTACACTAGGGGCCACGCAAACCTTACCACCACTTAAAAAAAATATCGAATAAACAAAAAATTGTAATACATTTCACACGTTTAATAATATACAGAAGTATTTCAAAATTTCAATTTTGTAGGAAAACGCAATCAAAGTTTGATCAATTCGTACAGTTGGCATACAAAATTACAGTTGAAAAGACCCATATCTTTGCGATGTTTGAAAAGTATAGCCACCTGTTTGGCTGAACATGTTCTACTTATCAAGCTTATTAAATGTCTTATGAAATCTTCAAAAACGTAAATTTTGAGTTACATCTCTATATTAGTAAACGTGCGATGTAGTTCACACTGTATCAAAAACTATATAAATAGAAGTCTCAAACTTTGTAAAAAAAAACTTTAAAGCAATTCATCAAAATTTCAAACTGTTTAACAAATATTTTTTTGCGAATATTTTGGAAATGCTGTTTAATATATCGTCGTCACTACACACGAATAAGGCGCGAGCCGAAAAGTTGACCGCGAAAAAATACGCATAAAACAACTGCAGTGAAGAAAGACCCTTAACATAGTTGACGGCGAAGAAAGACAAGTTAACTTATTTTCGCGGTCAACTATGGTTACGGACGCAAAAATATGTGAATTCCCCAAAGAGTTTAGGAGCACTTCAAACTTGCACATTTTTATACTAAAATTAAATGGCTATTAAACTGCATACCGGAAATTTTCGTATAAATTTTGATTAAAAAGTTTAAAATTTGGATGCGTTTTACTACATTTGTACAAAGCTTAAAGCTGAAAAAAAAAATATTTTTTTTATTAATTTACAAAATCCTATCTCAGTTAAAAAAAGTGATGGTGGGGTTTGCGGGCCACAAGTGTATACAAGTGAGTACATACATATACTTTAAAAACTGTTTTTAGTTCTTCGGTTCAGTACATTTGCATAATGTTTTACAATATTTTTTGCATTTTTGTCAAGCTTAATTTCTTTGGCTGCTAATGAAAATACATTTATATTTACGTGTGTATTTATACAAAAAAGGCAGCTGAAGACAAAGCACTTGGTTTTTTTTTATATATATATATATATAAATAAGCATATTTCTAGTATATAAGTATGTATGTATGTAGTTAGCTGCATATAATTATCGGAGGGTTTGCAAAATAATACAAATTATCAATATCATAAATAATTACTTTTCGCTGTTGTTTCTTTACACTTTATGTAATTTTTTTATAAACTCTTAGCTAATTAATTACTTGGATTGAAAATTTTAGTCATTTTTTGATTTTAATTTGCTAATGAAAACATAAAGAATAAAATTATAGTTTAAAAAACTAAAAAATCGCAACGTAACTTGAGAATGGAAATCGCTGCATCTTTTAGGCGCATCATTATTATATAGTTACATCCCAAGCTAATAAAAGCGAGGAAAAAACAAATAACACTTCGCACATTTTCGTTAAAATTACGTTCTTATTGAGCCATAAACTTGAGTTTACCGTTTTGTATTTATGAACAACAGTCAAGTGTTCACATTGGGGTGTTTAAGAAACTCAGCCTTTAATTTGACATTTTTTTGTTTAATTTTTCTTGTTCCATTTAGCCTGTTCCGGTCGTAAGGGATTTAACGGTTACACACATAAGTTTAGAATACCAACCGTTATGCTATAAAAAAAACCAAGAAATGAGGATCGATAGAACTTTTTACGCTGATTTCAACCATACCAAAACTATTTGTTACAAAAAAAGTAAAACCAATAAAAGAGGTTAAAGTTGAACTTCTCTATTTCGTATGTGTTTAATATCTCGGAAACTACGTAACCGAATAAAAAATTATTGATGCTAATTTCAGCATAATTTAAATACCTTCTATGCGACGCATATACTAACCAGTTTTAAAACAAATTTTATATAAACGCAATTTAAAAAATATATTTATATTTTTTGTGTTTTTTAGTATTTCCGGACTAAAAATATCAAAAAGGTATATAAATTATATACACAGAAAGACAAATTAATTTATTTTATTTTGACGTCATTAGTTTTTTCATAGGTTATGTTGTTCAGAAGATATTAATATTTAAAGAAAAAAAATTTAACTTTAACCATTTAGGCTAAACTTCAAAATGGCCCATAAACTCGAGTTTTTGGCTCAATGGGAACGTAATATAAGGAACGCTTTGACAGCGGCGAGTTAACTCACATTATGTGCGCACTTTTTGATATTATCACACCTGGAAGGGCCTTCTTGCAGTTTTACACTGCCCCCGAAATTTAAAAGCCTTTTTACGGCAAAAATACTAAAAAATTTTGAGGGAGTACATGCACCCACTTAAAAGTTTCCGTTCAAATTTTTGTACAAATTAGATATTACTATTCATAAAAAATTCGTTAATTTTTCAGGAAAATACAATTCGTCATATAATATATAAACCATTTAAATATAAGTTTCAAACTTTGTTTAAAATTTAGAAAAATTTGCCAAATTTTCAGCAAAATTTTGAACTTTTTTGCCAGAATTTCTAGAATATTTTTACGAACTGGGTACGCAGTTTTATTGCCGATCAAAATTTAGTATGTCTAATAATATAATGATTTGAAGTTGCTACAAAATGTCATTGAATTTTGAAAATGTCTTTTCTGACATTGTGCAATTTCTACCATACATATAACAAATTTTTCAAACATCGATTGTATGGATTCAAATTATCAAAAATTCGAGGGAAGTTTGTAACAACTTCAAACCAGCAAATTATTATACAAGAAAAATCTAACAAATAAGTTTGTAATCATGCTGCATATTCGTCAAATGTTTCTAAATCTTAGATAAAGTTTGAAACTTACATATCATCACCCTTATGCCAGAAGCATGAATGTGCATATTTACCAATTTTGAGTTATTGCGTTGACTTGATTAACCTTTGGATGTTCTATGTTAGACCAGAACCCAGAATACCATGCGTACACAAAGCCACATTAATGTAGAGTTTAGTCTCTTAAAAAACTTTCAAACTTGATTTCTCAAAATTTAAATTTTTACACATTAATGTTTCGGACAAAAGGGGGACCACATATTAAAATGGTTTATATTAAAGAATGAACTCTATTTTTATAAAAAAAAAGCTACCGAACATTTTTTAATGAAAAGCAAAATGAATATTGTAAAAAAATCTCTGTCCGGAAACTAGTTCTATTAGGTGTATATTAGGGTAATGATTTTTTTAGATTCAAATGAATGTGGTAGCAGTCGAGATCCATGGTCTAAAACACCGGACAAGTTACATGTCTACTGTGTTCAGATATAAAAAAGATCACGCGTATATCGGTATCTGCCACAAAGCTTACCATAAAGCTTTAAAGTCCGAACATAAGTCAATAACAGAGAAATTTTAATAAAAAAAGCGATGCAAATATACCCAAAACTTTACGAAAACTTTGCAATTCACTTGTCAGAATGCAAAATATAGACAGGAGAGCCAGTAGTTTACTCCAAACTAACTTCGGGTCGCTGATTCCAAATATCGATGGCTGAGTGGAAGATCGACTTATCTCGGCAGCTAGTTGGAAAACGCCCTATCTCAGAAAACTTTTCAAGAACGCGCTATTTCAGAATTTGATTGAAAAACACCCTATCTCAGAATTGGTTTGAAGAACGCCCTATCTCAGAATTCGGTTAAAAAACGCCTTATCTCTAACGAAAATACATTGAAAATGTGTTGGGATAGGCCGTTGTTGAATCTGCAGCTGGGATAGAGCGTTTTTTACCGATGCATTCGAGCTGCAGTAAATAAGCCAGGGTTAATTTTTATGAAAGAGCATCACGTTCTACTAAAAATTTGGGCCTTAGACACTGCTTACATTTTGCGTTCGATGAACAAAGTAAAGTGCAATATAAAAAAATATTACTGCGCAATTTCGGCAGAATTTCAGAAGATTTTCAGTTGAACATCAGCAACAGCACATCAATAATCGTTCCCATGACAGTGGCGTCTACGTAACGACCCAGATTCATATCTGGGCAAGGACTGTCATTCCAGCCTCATTTCCCAAAAACCCTTTGGGGAATTTATATGCAGTTATAACAACAACGACAAAGTTACAATTATTAAGTAGCTCTAATGCACCCTACTAACGCTGTATGAGTTCGGATCCAAATCGATTTGAGAAAATTTATGAAAACTGAAACTGAATTGATTAAATGTTTGAATTGATTTGATTTTTTTTCTCTATTTCTTCACAGCACTATAAAAAGTAAATGGAAAAAATATAATGCCATCAATAGTTTTAACGATTTGTAATATTTTGTTATCTTTACAATATTGGAACTCATAACAAAAATCATAATTTAACCGCTAAAATATAATTTCTACTTTTCGATCAAATAACCACTATTTTCAGTTAAAATATTTTTCATGCAAGGTTCAAAGCGGTCACAAGATCGCAAGTTTAGTCGAACAAAATTTGATGTAAATTATACCGATTAAATATGACAGAAAAAATAGTCTTCCAAATAAAGATCTTCATACCAGAAAAAATTAAAATGATTACTTTCGGCTACTAAAAATCGGTCTTATCTTGTACGATTTTCCTTTTTAGAATTTTTTATTTTTTTTCGAATCGGAACAAACAAGAGAATTTCTTTGAACACATTTTCTTTTGCGCAAGTCTTATGATCCCCTTGCCAAATCGTGTGAAAAGCAGATCTGGTGTATTCGTTTTTTGGTGTCTTAGGTCATGTGTTTTTAAAAATCTCATTTCTGTCTATTTCAAAAATATCTGTGTTTTGCAGAGCTAATTAAAAAACGTGAAACATATGTATATGAGCATGCGTAAGTTAATTTTTATAAATTAAAACTGTATTTACATACATACAAATATTTGTATAGTATACTCATGTAGTATATGAGTCATTTTACTTAAAAATATGTTTACTTAAAGCAATGTTTACAATACGTGCAATTAATTAGGTGGTTTGGCATAACTTTCAACTAAAGTTAGAAATCTACATACTACATACATATATATGTACGTGGCTGTATGTAAGTATGTATTTAAATGTGTATCTTTACAAAAAATCCATAGTCTACATACGTATGTATAATAATCTTAACAAATACATAAATACGCGACACTCTTTCCATATATAAATTAGCGTCAAGCGTTTTATACAATATAGCAAAATTCAATGTCTATAGCCGCATTCGACAGATGTCATAGTCATACATATTAATTTATTTAAATACTTATTTAAATTAGCGTAATAAATAATATCACAATGAAGTTTCTAGCTGTAACTTAATTATATTTTTAAAATATGTATGTATGTATCTACGTAAACAATTAGAATAGCATATAAGTAAAACGAAAAAAAAAAGAAAAAATAAACAAAAACAAATGAAGTGTGCTTAGAATTTAATAGTGATGTAGTGAGCATGCTGCTGTTGTTGTGATCGTTGTAGTGGCACGACTAAGCCCTGCCTGTATAGAACTTTTCCTCACCTGCTTTTACACTGGTAAGATTTGTTAGTAAATTGCACACCTAGATGTACATGTTTAGCCGACAACTCAAATTCTAGGCTAGAGCATTGCCGTCGCACTTTGCGATTGAAGTGAATCAAGCAGCAGTCACTGTTCACTTTTCATAGAAATTTGTACTATTATTAAACGCAATATAATGCGGCGCTATTTTTATGACACTTTTTATCGGTTCTCTGCAATTCATACATGCACTCCTGGATGAATGTATGTACATATGTATATAAATATACAGTAGTATCAATGTGATACTTTGGTAGACATTTTTTTTTCTATATATATGTATATACGCGCTGTATGTATAAATGGACTACAGTCTTATTTGGTGTACTCATCACTGGCTGTAAACACACTTGCTGCTCCTGCGCCAAACTCGCTACTAAGCACCCTTAATGCTTTAGCAGCAATGGGTGCACAACTTTTAGGAATTGTCCCATTTATAAATGTACTTAAATATCAACCGTTTGCGCATGCGCTGCATTGCTCCTAGGGTTTGTACTTAATGTGGCTTTACAATTACCACCGAGCGCGGTTAAACGAGCATCCCCACTACCGCCGCCATCAAAACTATTGTCGCTGTAGTTGTTGGGATAGGTAAGCTTTGAAGTTGTCGATAAACGTTCGTAGTGTTGTTGCCTGCCGCCACCGCCACCACCACTGATTCGCGCACTTGTGTTTTCGTTATTGCTGTTATGTAAAAAGTGTGTTCGTTCAGTTGCCAGCGCATCCGCATTGGCTTCTAGATCCATTTCAGTCTCCACGTGCTGATCCTTGTCGTTTACTCTCATAGTAGCTGCTCTATGTCGGTCGAAATCTAGCAATTCTACGTCGCATTCAGATACGCCTAGCGCATGCGTTGCAGCATATAGTAAATCCGCATCGTCCATATCACCGCCATCGTCCGTGGGATAAGAGTTTTCTATACCAGCGAGGCGGTAACCACCATTGTAACGACGCGTCGCCTGTGGTGTAGACTCGTTGACCGGCGTTGTGGCGCTATCACCCGACTGTTGCATTTCGCCAGCAGTTGGTGTTGGCAGCAGCGCTGACATTGTGAAATCATCAATGCTTCGTTTTACCGCCGTATCTGAGCCTGTGCCGGAATCTTTGCTGGATAAGTGGTCCTGTGCGTGGTCACCAGTAACGCCTGCGCTGTCCGGCAATGAAATGCGTTTCAAATACGTCAATGTGAAGTGCTCTATATCTGCTTCAGCATCGTTGTCCACATGCTGTTGCAACAGCTGTTGGTAGTTGGGTGTCGGAGTAATTATCAAGTGTTGCGGATGTCTGTCAGCGTCGTATTCATCACCAGCATTCTGCAAGCCCCCTTCAGCACTTTCACAATTGGCGGCATTCGCTTCGAAATCCCCTACACTGTGTGGTCTTTTTCGCTGTGCGTCTTTTGGTATCTTTTGCAGTAGCGTGCGATTCAGGGTGGTGAGTTGGGTTTGATCCAGGGCGCTGCCGCGACTGCCATTGAGAAGTTGCGAGCTGGTCGAAGCAACGCGTGCACCACCACCAATTAGACCCGCACTGCCGGAAAGCAGACCACTGGGTGCACCGCTGATACTGTTGGCATTGTGACTCGTTTCACGACGTCGTTTGAGCGCCTTGCGTCGCTGGTACAGAATCAGCGCAAACGCCACTAGCGCTATAATGAGTACGCAGAGCGCGGCCACGATGACAACACCAAAAAATATCATATTCTGACTCAGTTCCTCCTTTACAACAATCAGCTCAGTTTGTACTGTATACGTTTTGGAATTGTCGCTTATCTCGCAGCGATAATGGCCCGAATCAGCCGATTCTGTGTTCACAATAACCAAAATTTCATGATCGGAAGTGAAGAAGTAACGCTCCGCATCGGCGCTGAGCGTTCCTAAATGGAATGGCTTGTTGTCTTTGAACCACTCGCGATGCGGCTGACTCATATCGGCAGCCAAGTCACTTAGACACTGCAATACGCTCGATTCACCCACCACAGTTTCCTTTCTGACAACCGGTATGTTAGGTTGAGGCTTGTCTGTTGGGAAGAGAGGAAGCGGAAATTAAATTAATGCTTAGGATTTGAGTGACTCTTTTCGCCTGAACTTACCATTTACCACCAATGTGGCATTGACTTTTATTTCACCCGCCGCACTTTCAGCTGTGCATGTGTAAATGCCAGTGTCAATTGGCTTCGCATTGGTAATTATAAAGGCATTCTCCTCGCGTATGACTTGAAGTCGCCGCTCTGTTGCGGCGGGAAAATCGCTTCCGCCGGACTTTTGCAAGGCTATCTCCGGAACTGGGTCACCAGTGGCCGAACAAACTAAACGCGCTGTGTCGCCTGAATCAATGGTTAAGTTTGAGGGTATTTGCAGGAAGGTTGGATGTACTGAAAACGAAATAAAAAGTAGATTATTTTGGGGTGTTTCTATATTACTACGCCAACATAAATTTTATGGTCGTTCGTTTGGATTTCACTGGACCGATTTCGAAACGAATAAGATTGCGACATTTATCGAGATATCGTAATATATCGAGTTCTTTCAACCCATCGATGTTTTTGAAATTTGCAAAGTATATCAAGGTATCGAAATTTCTAGGGTCATATCAGTTTATCGAGTTATCATTATTTATCGAATTTCACCGTATGGAGATATCAAACTTTGCCGATAGATATCGAAATTTATGGAGCTATCAAAATTTACTAGAGTTATGGAAAGTTTAAAATTAGAAAGGCGTTGATACCAATAACGTTTTTTTTTATATTATCAGTGTTTTGGAGAATAATAGCGCTGTGTTTAGTTTTCCTGAACCTGTAGGAATCAAAATGTCCAAAATAAGAATCGAATGAGATTTTCCGAAAGACAAGCGCTTAAAAAAATCGAGTTATACTATTTGTTCTTAAAATTTCTAATATAGTCAATTTCATGATAAAAACATAATGTTTTTGTCGTGATTAATTTTTATAGACGTTATTGTCATTCTTATTGATATCTTATTGATATCTTATTGTAAAACCGTTAACGTTGTTATTGTAATCGATAAAGTTTCTATATTCTAATTCTACTTACTTCCAATTGAAATTTTAAATTTCTGTGAATACGTCGTGCCGAAGGCGTTGGATACAACACACTGATAGCGTCCCGCATTCGCATAGCTGACGTTGTACAGTCGCAAATAACCAATTATGGTAGTCTGATTGGTAGCGTGATCTTGACGTATTCGGGTTTCCGTAGTGCTGTAACTGTCTCCGCTTGCTACAGCGCCACTGTGATGCGGTGTGAAAAAGTGGCCACGCTCGCGTTCGCGTATATTTTGATTATCGTGACGCCACTTAATCTTTAGCTCGTCGGCGGCAGCCAACGATGCTGCCGTTGGTGAAATTCCAATGCATTCCATTGTGATATTCGCACCCTTCACAGTGAGCTGAGTAGATGGCTCTTGTACGATGGTGGGTTTGGGTGAGTTGGCTAAAAGTGGAAAAAAGAATTTGGTTGTTACCGATAAATTCAAATGGCAATAAATATTTTAGGCCCCACACTTACCACACTCCAACTCGTTGGCGTTCAACGTCAGAAGTTGACGATCGAACAACGCCTCCGGATAGCCGCACACCGCATTTTCCGTTTGCACTTGCGTGCCGATGGTCGATTGTTCATTGTGACGCAGCCAACGTTGGAACCAGAGTAACTCACAGTCGCAGATAAAATTCAAAGATTTAAAGCTTAACTTCTGCAGATGTGGCATGTGGTCGAAGGCGCCCGACTGTATGGTGGCCAATGCATTGCCACCCAAGTTGAGGGACTCTAAATTTCCGAGGCCGCTAAGCGATTTGCTCATGATCTGCTTCAAGTTATTGCCATACAAGTCCAACTTTTTTAGCTTGCGTAATGCTTTAAACGCAGGCGTAGCGCCGTGATCCTCAATGATCCAGGCGAGTTTGTTGCGACGCAAATTCAAATCCTCTAAATTTTTCACACAATCAAATGTGTTCTCTGCCAGATATTGGATTTTGTTGTGACCCAAATTCAGGTGTCGCAAACGTTTAAGACAATCCAAGTGCTGCGGCTTGAATTCGCTGATGTTGTTGTGTGACAAATCGAGCGAAATTAGTGACTGCGTGAATTCCCAAGTGTCTGGCTCAATGCGCGAGATGGAATTATTTGATAAGCTCAAGTGATGCAATTTTGTGAGATTGAAGAGCCCCTGACGGCTAAGCGATGTGATGCCATTATGGTCCAATTCAATCGTTTCGATGGCGTGCATTACATAGAAAACGCCATCTTGCAGAGCGCGTATGTTATTGGATTTGAGAAAGAGCTTTTGAATTGATGACAAACCGCGAAATGTTGACCAATTGATTTCAAGCTGATTGTTATTTAACGAGCTGTGAGGGTATAGAAATCAGAAAAAAAATTGTAAAACCGTAAAAGTAGGAATTAGATTTGAAATGGTAGTTCCCATTTTAAGTTTACGTACAGTTTCCGCAATTTGTGTAAAGTACGAAAAACCCCTGCCGGCAATGTCATTAGGCGATTGTTGTTCAATTCCAAGTCCAATAAATCGCCTAAGTGCTGAAAGGCGTCTTCATCAATAGTACCAATTTCATTTGAGTTGAGTATGCTGTAAAAGAAATTCAAAATTATGTAAATATGTATGTATATGATACACAAAACAATAATAAAATAATTAGTCTGTTCCAATAGCAGTCCGGTTTACAGGATTTAGTCAGAACTTACAGGAAGTCGTTCCTATTGACATAAAACCTGTAAGTGGGAACACATTTGAGAGAGTAACTGAGCAACTGTTCCTAGTCAGAAGTTACAGGATTTAGTCCGGAGTATTTTTTCCTGTAAGTTCATGAAAAGTGTCAAACGATCAGCTGATTTACATGTGCAAACAAAAACTGAAAGCGGTGAAAGCTAAGAACCTTTTATTTGTTAAAAAATGGAAGTAAACAACGAAATATTTGAATATGTATAGATTTTAATAATTATTCAGTGATATTTCAGCTAAATCAGTGTTGTACAAATGACATGTAAACAAACCGACTGACGTTTTTACAGGAAATAGTGCTTTTTGCGTTCCTATGCACTTATGCATCTGTTCTCCTTTTACTCTCATTTGAGAGCGTAAAATTGTAGTTTGACAGTTCCACAGGTTTTAGTCCGAAGTTCAAAGGAACAGACTAAATAATTGTAAAGGTGTTCTTACACGACATGTATTTGCATCTGTAAATGTGACTTTTTCAATACATACGTAATTGCGTATGTATTTCAAATTCACAGTCTTTATTTAACTATTTAAAAATACGTTCTTTGAAAACGAAATAAACTAAACTCAGATGATTCTATCTGGGTGTCAGATGAAAATAGAAACACACCAAATCTCTGGAAATAATCTTAAATCTTCCACCTGTGGATCTCTACGGCAAATTTCAGGCCGTCTGCGAGGTTAAATACGATCCAGCCGAGAAGAAACCTCAGACTTGGGCAAGCAAAAGTCTTTGAAACTCTACGGAATAATCTACGAGAGCTAGATTATACCACTTCTCTACTCTTTTTAGACAGCGAATTCTCCATACGAGACCCAGAGAGGAACGAATGGGAAGGTGCCATAGACTTAAATCCAGGGTCGACGGCTGTATATACAGATGTTTCCAAGCTCAACGATACAGTGGGTAGCGAGATTTACTTTGGTGAGCTCGCACTAAACCTCAGTTCTCGCGTACCGGACCATTGTAGCGTTTTTCAAGCAGAGCTAAACGCCAAAATGGAGGCCGCTCGGTGGCTCATAACCTGCGGCACTTCAGTATAGCATTTCGCTATTTACTCTGACAGCCAGGTTGCTTTCAAATCCCTAAAATCTAAAGGAATTACGTACAAAGCAGCCATAGAATGCAGAAAGATTCTCAACCTGCTGGCATCAAAATGCTCCTCGGCTGTCGTATGGGTCCCTGGAGACAGGGACATTCCTGGAAGCTGCATAGCGGACGAGCTTGCAAGGAGAGGGACGGAAATATCTGAAGTCAATTCTGCTCAAAATACGGGGATACCTCTAACCTCCTGCAAACACGGACTAAAGGCCGAACTCATCGAAGATGTAAATACCAGGTGGGCTCTGGAAACCACCTGCCATACTACAAACATTGATGTAACGCGATCCATAGCTCTCACTTGGCTGGACCGCTCTTCTTTCAGATTAGTAGTCGGAGTAATCATCGGACACTACCTGATGAGCACGCACTGAAAAGGGTTAGGACACCCCACCTACGATTTGTGTCGCAGTTGCAGAGACAAGAAAGAAGTGGAGAGCATTGAACATTATCTCTGCCACTGTCCCGCTGCATGCATGCCTCTTTGCCACAGTCTGTGGCTCGTCCACTTCAGTGGGGAGTTATCACAATTTGAATTAAGGATGAATTTAATAATACTAGACAACTCGAACTTATCACGGAGGTGCAGAACAAATAGACGATGTTAATATGTATGATGGTTTCGGTTGCAGAAGTCCAAACATGTGGGGAAAACCCATCGCTAGTGCCAAAAAAATTGAAGCACTACTCCTCCCCAGCCTGACAAAGCACTTTAAAGTAGCAGAACACCAGCAAGGATTCCGGAATATGCAGAACACCACCCACAGCATAAAGTCAGCATTACACAGACAAGCGATGGAATTTTCTTAGCGCCAAGACATCATGAACTCGTCCCTTCCAGTTAGAAAGAAACGATGGATAACCCGCTATCTGCGTGGACGTCAATCATCAGTTGATTTCCGTAACGCCAACCAACCTTTCATTGCCACGAAGAATTAAACAGGGGATCAATCAATACCACATACTCTCCCCGACACTGTTTTATTTCTACATGGCAAAACTCCCTCCGCCGCCAGCTGGAGATAACTTGGTCAGCTACGCTGATGATTGTACGATCAAGACAACACGCCCGAACATCAACAGCCTTTGAGGCAAAATCACTGACTATCTCCATACAGGAGAGAAATCTACAGCCACAATTTTCACCCCGTGGATTAAAGATATCAGGCTTGAACTATGTACAACGATGGCGCCAAAATACCGATAGTCACCCATCCTAAAGTGCTGGTAGTCTCTCTCTTGTACTTCTTAGCTTACTCTTCAGGAACCAGTAACAAAATACAAGCTAAAAACACAAAGTCCTCAAGTCTCTAGCCAACACCAGTAGGCGAGCCGTAAAGGAGACCCTGCTCATCACAAAATACAAAGCGAACGGCCGGTTGGTGGAAATCCGCAGCGCTAGGAGATAGCGCTAGACAAACCTGCTGTTTCCGTGTTATTTGCACTTTTAGAAACCTGAATCACCAGAGAAGTTATGATTTGGATTTGGATTCAGCCATGAAAAAAAAAAACAACCATAAATAAGCGGAACAGCGCCCATTCCCAAAAACTTTATAAGTATATAACTCTTTGCTATAAGGCGATTCTAAATCATATTTTAGCTTTTGTAGTTACTGAAATATCTCGGCTTTTCCATTTTAGAAAATTGCCGTTATATGCGAGGTGGTCATGAAGGTACGTCTAAATTAAAATTTTTTAAAGATTCGCCTATATTATTCCGCATCTAGAGCAAAATTGCAATAATCTATCTTCAATAAAAAGTTTTCGAATTACAGAATTAAAGGCAACTAGATGAGCCACATCTTAGGCTGTGCGTCGAAGACCTTTGGAAAAGTGTACTCTGGTTTCTGGTAAAATATGTATTAATTTTGTCGTCCCGTGTAATCTTTGTATATCGAATGAAGTGTACAATAACTAACTATGCTTTCGAAGAGTATGCCAATATATGTACTATGTATAATATCTACATATGTATAAAGTATGCATGTATGTAAATAATAAAGCACGCAAATGTAATAGAGCGTTAAAATGCAATGTAGATAAATCAATTGGCACTTACAGATGCGCCAAACGGTTGTTTGGCGGAAAATAACTGGACTCTATAGCGTGTAAAAAATTTCTGGACAAATCTAATGATTTCAGCTTCGGTAAGGCTTCCAATGCCGCGCTACTAATACGTTGTATACGATTATTAGCTAAATTGAGCTGCTTTAAAGCGCTGAGCTCGCTGAATACGGGAACACTTTCCAGTTGGTTGCGTTTTAGCGTGCTGTAAGAGAAGAAGAAAAAACATCAGCAAAGTGATCTTGAATTAGTGGCATAAAAAGAGATGGCGAAGAGGTATGGACGGAGAAAGGAAGCAAATACATAGATAGAATAATTGCATTAATCCTAACACAAGATACATTGTACGTTGTTCATGAAAGAAATTAATTTAATAAAGTCAAATACGTGACTATTGTATAGTTGCTACATATGCATGTATGTATGTATGTATGTGCTGCTATTGCATTCGTTTTAAGGCTTTCTAAGCAAAGTCATTTATCATACAATAGTATCATGCTTAGAAGAGTTTTAGTTCTATTGCTTATGTGCTTACAGTTTTATTAATTCCGTTAGATTCCTTATCTGCAGCACACTTGTATTATTCAGTTTATTACCAACCAGATCGCTGCAAAGAAACAAATGTTTATAAATTTAGAATATTTGAATATTATTATTGTGTATGTCATGGTTACTCATATAAATTAAATAAATCGTAAAAATAACTATTCATTATAGTAATTAGCAAAATACAATTGCCTGTTGTTTATACGCAAAATTGTTGTTTACATCCGCAATATTTTTACTTTGATTTTTTTGCTGAAAAGTTTATTTCGTACATGACCTTTCTCGTATTTATCCATTTGGGCAGCACATCTACTTAAACTGCATTTTGAGCCATTAAATATTTGGCATAATTAGCTGAAGCAGATGGAAGGCTATTAAATAATTGACTATGCAGTTGGCGTAACACCCCGGCCGGAAATTCTCTCTGGCTAGATTTCCTTAACTAAGATATTTTTAGCAGTGCCCAGACTGGCTGTATCCTACAAAATCCAACCTGGAGTAACCCATTCTGTTGCTGCCAAGAATTCTTAGAAAGGCTCTATGAAAAGGTCAAGTCTTACATTTTATATAAGGGACTGTACGGGAATTCTAAGTAGTAATTCGACAGTTCATTAGGCGGAAGCTGTTCAGAATCACCAGACAGTGATTGCTTAGAACGAGCATTACCTTTATGTCTGGCACCTCGACAAGGGGGCACTAGACGAAAGAAAGCAATTCTCACCAGCGCCTGTCCAAGATCGAGATCGGGAGGTAGGTACATATCTAGATATCCTGTACTATATATCTGAACTTAACACATACTTATCACTACAGTGAACTTAGACCGAACCACCATACAAGAAATAAAAAAGTACGCCGTACAGTACACCCCTGAGTCTAAAGTATTTTTGCAACGTCATTTCGAAAAAAAACTTGGTTTTTGCCGAACCCGGGGTCCACCTTTTACATTTTTTGGTGACACCCATGTACATATGTATGTGCATACATATATTCGGCAATAAAAATGTTTAATAATAACCCAGGTTTACAAAAAAAAAAGTTTTTGCATATTGAACCAAACATCTATATCCCTATCTATGTATGTTATTCGACGCGCTGAACGCGAATTCGAGTTCTGTTAGCCTCTATCACGTCAGGCTAGAGGTTATTTGAAGGTCAAGTAGGCAAAAATTCGTTGAATAAACCTGAAAACCTTTTGCAATACGGATATCAAATAAAAGATAGATATTTTTTACAGTTTTAACTTAGATATATCGTCACTAGACATTAATAAAGGCGCGCTAGTGTTTTGACGGCGAAAAAAGACGTGTAAGAAAATTTGACGGAAAAATACGCTTAAGAAAACTTCGGCGAAGGAAGACGCGTTACTTAGTTGACGGTGAAGAAAGACGCGTAAACATAGATTTAGATATAGCATCATTCCCTAAAAACTAAAGAGAGGGAGCTTCGTTGGGGCCATTCCGACTTATTCGGTTTTAGGGCTCACTGAAGTCTGCAGCATCTGTTCACCAGTAGGTGGGCCGCAAGCTCTTTGTTGCACTTTTGACTTTTCACTGACAACCTATACCCCGACTGCCGCTTGCTTGAATTTAGTGACGTGTATTTTTCCTTACTTCTAAAAGTATAAACGGAATCAAATCGCTGAGCGAACTTCTCGGAAGAAACACAACAGTATATGAAATTGCACACGACCAAGGCGACGACGAAGTTCGCGTGACGAAATTAGGCCAGAACAGATTTGTTTTTAATTTTGCGCTTCCGCCGGTCACAAAATCATGGAATAACTCTGGTTCTTCACTTTTCTAGCAGTTAATTATCAGCAAGGAGCAGAATGGGAAAATTTAGGGATTCATCTGTTCCCTTTTTATATTTTATATTTGTCATTCAGCTGCTGGGAATATTGTTTCAGTTCAGTTTTACTGGGCGAAATGTTGCGGGGAATATCTCCCAACGGCATCGCTCCGTCCGACGAAATTCGCTCAGCGTTTGGGCTCGGTTTATACTTTAAGGGCTTTGATATTTTGTGGTATTGCGTTATTTTAACCGATTTGAAACTTTATTGACACTTTGGAAAAGTGATTCCATCAATATCTTCGTATGTTATTAATTGTTTATATTTGTATATCGACGGCTGAGTGGAAGATCGACCTATCTTGGCAGCCGGTTCGCCAACGGTTTTACAGAAAAATTCTCAAGAACGCCATGTGTCTCAGAATTTGATTGAACTACACCCTTTTTCAAAATTTGGCTGAAGAACGCCTTATCTTAATATTTTTTCAATATATTTTCAGTTGAGATAGGGCGTTTTTTGTACCGAATTCTGAAAGAGGGCGTTCTTCAATTAAATGCTGAGATAGGGCGTACTTTAGCCTAATTCTGAAATAGGGCGTTCTTGAAAATTTTTCTGCGATAGAGTGTTTTCGAACTGGCTGCTGAGATAGGTCGGTGTTCCACTCAGCCGTCGATATGAAATAATATTCCGCAGATAAAAAGAATCACTTTCCGAATTTCACTTTGTGAATTTCGGCTTGTTCCCTGACTTACAAACATACATACATAGATATGTATGTATAAATTTACAATATTCCAAACAAATAAAACCTTTACCAAAAGAAAACTATTAAAAAAAAAAAACATGAGAGCGCGTCCTCGACACCTAAATATTTCTCAAATTTGTACTGAAAATATTTACAGTCAGTCAATAAAGTTTATGTACAGCGAATTTTTTACAATACGGGAAACTATTTTTTAAATATTTTATTTTTGCTAATTTTTTTTTATAAAAATATGGTTAATTCTACAACAAAAACCCCAAAAAGCAGAATTCCAAACCTTGTGCAAAAGTAAAGAAAATTCTTCAAAATTTCATTCAAATATTGCACTTTTTATTTGCGCTCTCTAGAAAAAAATTGAGTATGCAGTTTTTTAGCCCATTCAATTTTAGTATAATAAGGTGCAAGTATGAGAAAGCTAGGACTTACCATTGATTTTTGGGGAATTTTTTTGTTGAAGGTGTCGCACATTTGTTCCATATAAAAAATTATCAAATATTATTTTATATGGAGAAAATGAGTGACACCTTCAACAAAAAAAACTGCTAAAAATCAATGGTAAGGCCTAGCTACCTCAAACTTGCACTTTGTTATACTAAAATTGAATGGGCTAAAAAACTGCGTACTCAACTTTTTTCTAAAGAGTGTAAATAAAAAGTGCAATATTTCGATGAAAATTTGCAGAATTTTCTTTACTTTTGCACAAGGTTTGGAACTCTGTTTTTTGGGGATTTTGTTGTAGAATTAACCATATTTTTATAAAAAATTAGCGAAAAATAAAATATTTAAAAAATAGTTGCCCGTATTGTAAAAAAATCGCTGTACCTAAACTTTATTGACTGACTGTATAATTCCAATTAAAAATTAATACATATACATAAGTATGTAAATAGTTTTGCACTTACAGCGTTTGCACGTAGCCGGGCAATATGGGGACACGATCCAAAAGTTTATCACCACAATCGAAGTACGCATCCAAGCATTTGCACTCCTTTGGACAATCAGTTGATGTGCCCACACCAAACAGTCGACCGCCGCCACCGCTGCCATTGCTATCGTTACTATTGCCACCGGCTTTGCTATTAACGGCGGCAGCTAACGCTTTCACCGCCTTTTCATACCGCTGACCATCATCGGCCACAAAACCAGCTGTCTCCAATGAAGTATCTGCATCTGCATCTGCCGCCACTGGAGCGGCCGCATCCAAGTCTAATAAATGCTTTGGAACAAATCCAGCAGCCATCGCTGAGGCTGCCACGCCTTCTACGGCACCGCCCACGTCCGTGCCACCATCAGCAGCAATCACTTCGGCAGCGTTACCTTGACGATTTTTCGTCAGCATCGCAAACAATTGTTGTTGTTGGAATTGACGTTCCTGTTGTAACGCGGATAGAGGCGACGAGATGGGCACTGCTGCTGCTGTCGCCAAAGTCATATGACCAATTAGTGAGATGGGCGCGAATGCGAAAGAGAGCGCTACCGCTGGTACAGCAGTTGTCAATAGGCCGTTTAATGTTGCTGTTGCAGTCTTTGTTGACACAGCTGTTATCATAATTGTAGCAGTTGTAGTAGTGGTTGTTGTTGTTGTTGCTGACAGTGTTATCAACAGTACGACAGTGGCAATTAGTAATCGATTGATATTATTGAAATTGTAATAATTAGTGCGAGTACTGTTATTTTCATGTTCCATTTGCACAGTCATTGACTTTTTGCTCCTTTGCCATTGCTTTGCAATTTTCGCGTGCCAATTAATGTTGCAGCAGCTCGTGTCGCTACTACTGCTGTTTCTGCTGCTCTTTGTTTTGCTCTTATTTTTGTTAGTGGTCACGGTGCTCACTTCCGTTGCGCGACACTGCGATCGCTTTGGTCGTAGCTGGCTTTGCTTTTGTCCATTTTGACATTGGTGTTGTAATCGCTGCATTACTGTGCAATCGCAAGTGAGGCCGTCAGCGCTCATTTTTATTTTCTTTATTTTTTTTCCCCCAACCAACCCTCTTTTATTAAGGATTTTTTCTTAATCTTTATCCGTTTCATTCGGATTAAAATTACCCATGGTGGTTGAAATATTAGTTTTTGAATAAGTAATTTTTTTCATTTTGTTATGATGACAGCTTCAATGGCGTTGAGCATATTGATATGAAAATCGTTGGAATCCAAGGTTTGGTATTTAATGATTCAAAACTGAAATGAAAATAAAAAATTTACATATAAAATATTAGTTTGTTTTGTTAAACCTGAAATAGTTTTATTGGAAAACTGTTACGTAACTACGTAGGGTTTTCCAAAAATACACAGCAAAATCAACTTTTTGGAATTTTCCTGCTGTCAACCCCCAGAACTGAAGAATATCGAAAATAAGAACATTTTTTAATGCCCAACTTTGTCACTACAATTTTTGCCATTTAGTGACTAGTACAAATTCAGCATAAGATAGAAAGTGTTAACAAAGATTCTAATAACAAAAACTTTACTTTTGATCTCTGGTGTGGGGCAAATTTACGGAATATTTTGTCACAATTTTCAAGTGCGTTATTTATTCCTGAATTCGGCACAACTTTAAATTTTCAAAATCCATCACTGGTAGCTTAAAATGTCAAAAGGGAACATTGAAATCAATCTTTTGATGTAAAACAGGACTACTAATCAGCACATCCATTATCTTAACTATGAATGAACATCTGAACATCTCCCATCAGCAAATTTAGAACCTACAGATGGCTTTTATATGGTGGACGATTTTTTAGCGAGTCCCATGATTTCTGTACCTCGGACTCTATAATTAGTAAACCACAATACATCATTTGTATGCAACTTTATAAACAAAGAAACTTTGTACGAAGTTTTCTTTACCCAAGGCTAGCCGAAATAACGCGGCCTTTGATGAATGGACATGACTAGGGAACGGATTTTATGGAAATTGCCCTTTGTTCTGCAAAAGAGATAGAGTATATTCGATTAAGAATGTGCACGATTTAGCTTTCCCTGACTCCATATGCACGTTAAGTACATTCAAGGCTTTTCTTCGCGAAAATCGAATGAAAATGCTGCCAGAAAACTTCAAAATGCATCTTGTGGTTCAATGTTACTACAACTATAGTGATTAAAGTTTTGTGAGTTAAAAACTCGAAAGCAGTCAAAGATTCAAAGTAGAAATATTTTAAATAATGAAATTAGTTCATAGTTTTCCTCTTTATACTTGTAAAATAAACATTTCTGAACAAAATGTATTTTTTGATTATTTTTCAGTTTTTGCCTTTTTTTAGTGCCTTCTTTTGCCTTTTTTGCGATTTCTGGTGCCTTTTCCTGCTTATTTTGTTATTTTATTTTGTCTTTTTTATCCTAAAAATGCGTTCCCTGGACATGACAATTGAACAAAATGACATTGCAGAAATAATAAATATATACATAAATAAAATTGGTAATTACTTTTAGTGCTAACGCGGCTTAGAACGCATTGCCTTATAATGGCTTCTAATTTTTTCACTGCTTTTAGGCATTGCCGCTAATGCATAGTAGAATTTTCTACAATATTTTATTAATAAAGCGAAGTACATACATGATTGCGGAATAACAATTTTAAGTTTAATTTAATATGTATATGTGTACATACCGATTTTTAAGTAAGATCTAAATAAATAAATAGGTATAAAAACTGATTTGTACAAATTTTAATTAATATAATTCTTTTAAGACAATCTGTATTTTATGTTTTCAATTTAATATTCATAAGCAGGGAACAGATTTTTAGGACCTAAGAACCTATAAAAAAGGCAAAATAAAATACGAAATAGGCTGGAAAAGGCAAAATAAAATAGCGAAAAAGGCAGGAAAAGGCACTAGGTATTGCAAAAAAAACCAAAATAAGGCACTAAAAAAATACCGAAAATACAAAGAACAATCAAAAAATACATTTATTTTAGAAATTTTTATATTACAAGTAAAAAGAGAAAAACTATGAACTAGTTTCATTACATGAAAAATTTGTACTTTGAATCTTTGACTATTTTATCCTTTCGAGTTTCTAACTAATAAAACTTTAATCTGTATAGTTGTAGTAACATTGAACCACAAGATGCATTTTGAAGTTTTCTGGCAGCATTTTCATTCGATTTTCGCGAAGAAAAGCCTTGAATGTACTTAACGTGCACTCGACGTAAGTTGATACAAGTGGAGCCCAATTTAAATATGGAACGTCTGAAACGTTGATATTATCAGGAATAAGGGCGTTTTCCTCGCCCTTTACAATTTTATCCACACCTCTCTAAGCCTACGTTAGCTGAGAAAACGGCTTTGAATTTTTCCAACACCAATTTGACAAGAGGTCCCTGCGCTTCTATAAGCCGCATGGGCATGTGTATATTTTTTAATCTTTAAAAAAAAAATGTAAATGCTATAATCGCTTTTTTAAAGGTATAAAGGCAAAACAAAGGCAAATATCTTAAAAAAGGCAAAAAAAGGCAGCATCAAATGTGTATATATGGAATCAGGGAAAGCTAAATCGTGGACATTCTTAATCGAATGTACTCTATCTATTTCGCAGAAAAAAAGGCAATTTCCATAAAATCCGTTCCCTGTTCATAAGTATGTACTTATCTAGGCATTCTACATTAGTTTCTCTCTATGGCATTCTTTGTTCGCTTCTCTGGATTCTGTTTATCCATGCGTTCTCCTTTCGTTCGAAGGTAATTCAGCGGGTAAGGGCTTACGTAGGGCTGCCAGATATCTCTGTTGCCAAGCCGGGACATTTAAGGGGGGGGAGAGGCCTCTCGCTCCCTTCCCTTTCATTTCGACAAAAATTACGTACGAAAGGATGTAGTAAAATTTAATTTTGACAAACAAAAACAAAAACATAAAAACATGCGATCATGAGATCATTACAACGTACACTAGCAAAACAAAACAATTTATCAGAACTAAAGCACAGAGAATTTTTCACAATGCATGTACCTTTTTTGTTCCTTAAAAAAATACAGTTTATACTAAATACATCAGAAAATATAAAAATAGAATTTCTAAACTTTGTGGAAAACTCGGGAAAATGCAATAAATTTGCATACAAATTCGGAACTTTCTCTTCAGACTTTTTTATAAAAATTTTGCAAACGAAGTTTTACAGTTTTGCAGCCCATAAAAATTTAGTTGATTTTTGGTATTATTTTTACTGAGAGTTTCTTCCATACAAACTATGTTCCACATTATTTTGTACGTGGAAGACACGGTCAGCGAAAAATAAATAATTGCAAAAAATCAACGAAATTTTCTGGTAACTTCAGACTTGCACTTTACTAATTGGCTCAAAATCTACATTTTCAAAATTTGTGATCAGATGAAAGAGTCCCCGAGTCCATAATTTTGTACGGGACGGTACTTATAAGTAATCAAAGAAAAAAAAAATACAAGGTAACATTATCAGTCATTTGTTTCGTTGCTGTGAACTTGTTTAAAAACTTCTGGTTTTTGCTTAATATAATTTTAAAACTCTGTGCATGTCATTTTAAAGTATTTAGGTACATACTTATATTAGTCATCAACTATTGCTTGTGCAAAACGTGCTAAATTAAAAAAAAAATCGCATATGAAAGAGCACCAACCCAACTCGTAATAAATTTAAGTATATATATTTTAGTATTTAGTATAGAAATATTCAATTCAAATACGCCAATATTAAAATGAAGCGCTTTGCACTTAACGGATGCTTTTTCATAATTAAGTTAAAAAAAAATAAAATTTAAATTCCATGCTGCCTGTAATGGGATTTGAACCCTAACGCTCTGGAAATTAGCAATTTGTGGCAAGGATCTTCGTGCACTCCAGACATGTGCTACAGCCAGACATGTAAATGTGCATTCAAGTGTTCAGTTTGATTCAACACCACGTGTGACTGGTATGAAAGTATTGTTTTTAAATACGAAAATTTTAAAACGATAATCAAATAAAAAATATTCATGTTTACTATGCGTTATTTCCCCCAGTAAATTTATAAAATTTTTCTTAATATTACAACGCGTTTTTTCTCTCAGTTTAGTCTTTTTTATTCAAAATTTGTACAATAAAATCGAAAACCGGGACACTTAAACGAAACCCGGGACATTTTAAGGTTGGACCGGGACACTAAAACCGGGACATGTCCTGGACAACCGGGACGTCTGGCAGCCCTAGGCTTACGGCCAATGACATGCCCATGGTAAAATAATGTCTTCTTGAAGCGAAAGGCTAAGCGATTCCCATCGCCTAATTCGATTCCATTTTAATTTCTGTGGTAATCGTGTTTTTGCTGCGATTTACATATGTATATTTTTGTACGTACAATCTTTCAAAACGGATATTTTTGTAAAAACAAATAAGTGAAAACAATCTAAATACGCTGGCACTCATTAGCATCATTATATCGTTAGTATAGTATGGAAAGGGCGTATCACACATCGTCGCTGAAATACAAAAAGCCGTAACTAACTTAAAATCCAAAATTCACTTTATGATTGATTAAGTGCACTCCACCGAATTATAAGTACCCGCATCGTTTATAAAACAAAAAATTGTTGTTACTTGTAGCTTTTTTGCCTTTCGGCGATAATGTATGTATGTATGTACTCACATATTTATTTACAAAAATTTACCACATTGGCAACCACAAAATTAAAGTACAAATTTATTAGCAATAAAAATAACCACAGAAGTGCGCAATGGATCAATGCAAATTAAAGCGAGCTTAAGATCAATACAAAAGTCCATAAAATAATGAGAGATCAAATTCAATTCAGTTTAATTTTTAGCAAACTCGTAAACAGCAGCAAAAAACAACGTACAATAAACAAATGCACCTAAAATAACAATAAAATCAAAAAAATTACAGAAAAGTGTAACAATGCAAAATCCATAGAATGCTCGAATGGTACTTGCAATATAGCAACGAAAGCAGCAGCACGTTAACATAACAAACAACGATAACAATGAAAGCCAGAAAAAATTAAACAAAAACCAAAACGCGAAAATAAATAAGATCAATGCACTTGACGCGGTCGAAGTAATTAGCAAATTAAGAACGAAAAAGTCGTTTATCAGTACATACATGCACACATGTACACATGTACATATATGGGGCATTCCATCCCAAAATGGACGGGGTTCACACTTTAGGGTTGATGGATAAACATAAATAATATATAAATATGAAATTTGAG